ATGCTATGGCATTACAATTTAAAGGTCATCTTCATAAGAAAATATTTTTTACAAAAAATATATTTTTTTAAAGCTGTGATAATGTGTCATTTTTCTTAAGCAGGCATCTGAAAAGCAACTGCTTCTTTTGTTGTGCCAAGGCAGCAGACATGGTTGGACACCAAGATCAAGTCATTCTAACTTCTGAGGGGACCTTTTACACGCGTATTGTGGGCTTCTTGAAACGTAGTAAACGAAACTCGTAGGATACACTGTCTAGACCAGCATTGTTCAATCCTGGTCCCTCAGGACCAGTGTGTCTGCAGGTTGTAAGGCAGCTGCACCAGATGAGAGAAGCTGTTTAGTTGTCCAGCTAAGCCAGTAACTGGCTGGTTTAGCCCATTAACAGCTGAGATGGAATAAAACACACCACCCCTGATATAGAATACTTGGGGGAATCAAACAAGAAACAGCTTTTAGCTTATTTGTTGAATAGATACTCTTAAAAACCAGGAGTATGCTATCATGTTAAAAAGTCGTGCATCAGTGCTGTTAAACACACTGAACGCTCTCAATGACGCAGAGCACTCCAAACAGCTTTCACAGGCTTAGAAGGTTACACAAGCTCATTGATGGCCTCCATGGTTTTGATTCACAATAAGCAGGGTTTCTTCTCTGTTTTGACTTGAACAGGAAAGGAAAGGAAGAAAAACAAGCGCAGCCGCAGCAGATCATCCTCAAGCTCTTCGTCGTCGCCTTCATCCTCCTCCTCCTCCTCCTCCTCCTCCTCCTCCTCCATGTCCTCTTCGTCTTCGCGCAGCAGGAGCAGCTCGGGCAGCTCAAGCAGCAGCGGTAAGTGCAGATTCCTGCTCTGCCTTGCAGTCTGGATGCTAACAGGACTCTCCTGTCCGTTGAGCTCCTGTGCAAACTTTTCCCTACTTTGTCTGCCACTATATGGGGTGAATATTAGATTACCAATTGTGTTCAAGAGAAAAACACTCACTTTATTTTTCTTTTTGGAATATTTTGTTCAAATGGCATGTTCATACCTTTTTAGAATCAATTTCAACAAATTCCTCTGTAAATTGTTGTATAGCACTTAAAACAACACAACTCCCTTTAAATTAAGGATTATTCTAGTTGTTTTGGGCAGTTTTCTTTTTCTATGCAAAATGGCTTCACATTTCTCAAATTTCAACTAAACATAATTGAAATGCCAACATCTGATGGCCTGAATGTGAAAAATATGCAAAATACTTGCATTACTAAAACATTGTATATTTCACTATTCAGAAATGCTTTAATCCAAAAATCTTTTTTTAGAGAGTAGAAGGTATCATTTACAGTGCCTCGCAAAAGTATTCAGACCCTTGACCAATTCTCTCATTTTACTGAATTACAAGTTCTACATTGAAATTTTGTTCTCTGTGATATTTTTATTTAAAAAGACTGAAACTTAAAATTAATAATTTTAATGTGACATTGTTTTATGTTAGAAAACATTCTTAAGAAAAATAAATAACTGAAATATGCTGTTTGCATAAGTATTCAATCCCCACATTTTAATATTTTGTAGAGCCACCTTTTGCAGCAATAACAGCTTTAAGTCTTTTGGGGTACATATCTACCAGCTTTGCACACTGTTCAGGAGTGATTTTGGCCCATTCTCCCATTCTTCATCCATGCAGGTTGTTCAGGTTAGTCGGATTACGCTTGTACGCCGCAATTTTCATGTAGTGCCACAGATTCTCAATTAGATTGAAATTGGGGCTTTGACTGGGCCATTGTAGGATATTCACCTTTTTGTTCTTGAGCCACTCCAATGTTACTTTGGCTTTGTGTTTAGGATCATTGTCCTGCTGAAAGATGAACTTTCTCCCAAGCTTCAGTTTTTTAGCAGACTGAAACAGGTTCTCTTGCAGTGTTTCCCTGTATTTTGCACCATCCATTCTTCCTTCTATTTTAGCAAGATGCCCAGTCTCTGCTGATGAAAGAACTGAGAAGGGCTAGGAAAGAATTAAGAGCTGGCATAAAATCTGCCAAGAAACAGTACAAATCCCAGATAGAACACCACTACAACACCAACACTAACCCACGACGCATGTGGTAAGACATAAATACAATCACAAGCTACAAGAGCAAAACAAGCCCTGTAAGCGCTACTGACCCCTCTCTTCCAAACAAGCTTAACACCTTCTACGCACGCTTCGAAACTCAGAACCCTGAACCATCCACCTGGACCACTGACTCCCCTACCATCCCGCCCCCCACGCTATCCAAGCTAGATGTGTGGAAATCACTAAGTAGAGTGAACACACATAAAGCTGCTGGACCTGATGGTATCCCTGGCCTGGTACTCAGAACATGTGCCTGGCAGATAGCTGATGTCTGTACCGACATCTTCAACATGTCCTTGGCCCAGGCCACTGTACCTAGCTGCTTCAAGACGACCACCATCGTGCCAGTACCGAAAAAATCAGCCCCCACATGCCTAAACGACTACCGCCCTATTGCACTCACCCCCATCATAATGAAGTGCTTTGAAAAACTACTTATTCCGCACATTAAAGCCAGCATTCCAAAAACACTGGATCCTCTCCAGTTTGCCTATCGCACAAACTGCTCCACAGAGGATGCAATCTCTATAGCTTTACACACCACACTAACCCACCTGGATAAAAGGAACACCTATACAAGAATGCTGTTCATTGACTTTAGCTCAGCATTTAACACCATCATACCCATAAAACTTTCTACGAAACTCAGGGCTCTAGGTTTATATACAACCCTCTGCAGCTGGATACTAGACTTCCTCACCAGCAGACCCCAGACTGTCAGGATTGGCAACCTCACCTCCAACTCACTCACCCTTAACACCGGTGCCCCTCAAGGCTGTGTGCTCAGCCCACTGCTTTACTCCCTGTTCACCCACGACTGTACTGCTAAGTTCAGCACAAACACCATCATCAAGTATGCTGATGATTCCACAGTCGTGGGCCTGATCACTGACAATGATGAGACTGCCTACAGGGAGGAGATAAAACAACTCGCAGACTGGTGCCGAACCAACAACCTATGTCTCAACATCAGCAAAACATAAGAGTTGATTGTTGACTTCAGAAGACAAGGAAAAGTTCACTCCCCCATCGACATAGAAGGGTCCGCAGTGGAGATGGTGAATAACTTCAAATTCCTAGGTGTTCACATCTCTAAGGACCTTACGTGGATACTGAACACCTCCAGTCTCATTAAGAAGGCACAACAGCGGCTGTACTTCCTGAGAAGGCTGAAGAAAATACACCTACATCCACTGATCCTCACCAACGTCTACAGATGTACGGTGGAGAGCATACTGACCAGCTGCATCACAGTCTGGTACGGCAACTGCACAGCATCCGACCGAAAGGCACTACAGCGGGTGGTCAAAACTGCCCAACACATCATCGGCAGTGCCTTACCATCCATCCAGGAAATATACAACACCAGGAGTCTGAAAAAAGTCACCAAAATTATGTCTGACCCCACTCACCCCAGTTATAACTTGTTTGTTCCCCTACCATCTGGCAGAAGGTTCCGGTCACTCCAGTCGCACACAGATAGACTCCAAAATAGCTTCTTCCCCAGCGCTGTCAAGTTGGTGACGCCCCCACTCCCTCCCACCATATTATGATATCTCCTAACGTCTTCCTGTACCCACAACGACTGTACTCCTACACCACCACACACACATGTAAGCCGAAATTGTACTGTCCCCTCGATAGCCCAGTAAAACTGTAACAGGCATAATAGTATTTAATATTTATTAATTAACCATACTATTTTTAACCATACTATTTTTGCACTGTTTCAATAATTACCTTGCACTGTTTTTGTCCTGTTATATTTTCTCTGTTTGTGGAAGTTTGCAGTTTTGATTACTCGATTACATGTTATTTATGTTATGTTACTTATGTTACTGTTATTGCTATTGTGTAACTGTCTATTGTCTTATCTTCTGTCCTATTTATATACTGCACCTGAGTGACTAATGAGAAACACTTTTCATTATACTATGCACCTGTGTAAGTTTAATGACAATAAAGTTTAATTGAAAAGCAGCCCCACAGCTTGATGCTACCACTACCATACTTCACTGTAGGTTTGGTGTTTTTTTGAGGTGTGGATAGTGTTAGATTTGCGACCCACATAGAGCTTTTTAGACAAAATTCAAAGCAATATCTTGGTCTCATCTGACCAAAGACTCTTTTCCCACATCACAACTGGATCACTATCATGCTTTTTGACAAACTCCAGACGTGATTTCATATGGTTCTTTTTGAGTAATCGCTTCTTTGTTGCCAACCTCCCATACAAGCCAGTGTTATGCAGAGCTCTTGATATGCCTGACTGGTGCATCTTTACTCCGCTCTCAGCTACTGAACTCTGTAGTTCCTTCAAAGTGATCGTTGGCCTCTCTGAGGCCAAAATCACAGAGATATCACAAAAATATCTCAGAGAACTAAATTTCAATGTAGGATTTGTAATTCAGTAAAATGAAAGAATGGGTCAAGGGTCCGAATACTTTTGCAAGGCACTGTACTGTATATGCAGCAATATATGACTTCTATAATAGGTGATTCTCTTGTCGTGGCCATTTTTTTTTAATTACTACAAATGCAGCTGTATAAACGCAGAATGTCTTTTTATTTTTTCCGGCTAGACAGAAACATCTAGAGTTGTTCCTCCTGCTACTATTTGTGTTAAAGACAAGATGCAACGAAAAAAGAAGAAACTCTTGGCCGATGGGATGCCTGTGGCATGATGCACACACAGTCTGTGGCCAGTGCAATTTGTAATCACTCATCTGAAAGAAGTCTCAGGCCGCCCAGGCAGATGTAGCTCCCAGAGCTGTGAGATTGGAGGAGTGAAGGCAAACTGTAGATCATTTAATCTCCAAACTGGTCTGTCTCCACATTCTATGCATTTGTGCTGTAACTATAATTTTAAAATAAACTTTTCCATATTGTTACACCGAGGCTGGAAGCAGCTCTTGTCCTGGATTTGCCACTGACAACCAGCACATTTGCACAAGGTCTCGTTTAAGGTCTGAACCTGTGCAAATGCAGTCGGAATGCGCTTCCAGACCGCCAACATTTTTTCAGTCAGGTGGCCAATAATTCAATCATCTGGAGCACGCTGAGGCTTTCTATCTGCTCACCTCAACTGCTCCAGCGTTGAGTGAGCTACATTGTCAGCAACTCGTCAGGAACGTTTTCCCTGCTGCTTTCCTTTTAGCTTGTGGGTTTTTTTCTTTTCAAGCTCTTTTACAAGGAGTTCTGGAAGAGCGGGCATTTTTCTGTTCACCTTAATTCTTTCCCCCCCAGTATATCAGATCCACTCGTTTGGTCATCTAAACAGCATCCTCACGCCAGGTCCGTCTGCTGCCTCCAGTGAGACAGTTCTTCTCAGCTGGAAGATTTACCCTTAAGGTGGACCATTTTTGTTTAACAAAGCAGTTTCCAACTCACCCTGCCCACTATTTTTTAATCTGCTTATTTCCATCATTGTCATAACCCTATCATACCCTGTCATTCACCTCAATTAACCCTAGCTCTGAGACTCTAGAGCTCAGCTTTGCTATTTGCCACAGTTCTGATTTTCAGGGACCACAGCGTAACACATATAAAATGCCTGTTTTAATAATACTCGGTGGTAATAATATCAGTAATGCCATTACTGATACTCCAATGAGGTCCTTATAGGTTGCTCATATATCAAGAAATAATTATTTATATATAATATAATTAGAAATTACATTATATAATATCTAACAGTAAATATATTTTCTATATATAAACAATGAAATAATCACCTCTATTAGTGCTGCTTCCCACAGTACTCATTTCTCAGGAACACATAAGTGAAGATAGGCATTGTTGCATAAGAATATGCTACAAGGTTGCACTTCAGAAAAATTATCTGTGCTTTTCATTCAATGGTAAATTGTTTCTATAAAAACTTACTTTATTCTGCAACCTCACTGCACCTGCACATCCAAGTGTGCTCTAACGGTATCAACAGTACCAGTCTTAATGAATTTCACAAAAAGTAGTTGCATTTTTCAAAAAACACTTCTAAGTGTTTTAGAACCTGTATGATTTAAGTTCATTATTGCTCTTAGAAAAACTATGGTTTGCTTTGTTTTATAGCCATTGGGTTAAAGTCATGTGACAAACTGGAATCTATCATCTTGAGAAGACTAAGATAAATACTGATGCATAATTGTGTCTTCTAGTTTTTTACTTGATGTGTGCAGAAAGTTAATAACTTACACAGAGCAGTGCAAAGTATAAAATCAGTGCATAAAGTTCAGAGATGTCATTTCAGACCAGAACATAGCAATTTCTACAATTTGTGGAAGACACTACCCCACTTGTGTTGTTGTGAAACCAGGGGTATAGCTGGTTTTAACAACAAAAAATTGCCATGGTTTCATCAAATGCTTACCACACCAGAAACAAAATGTGCATTTCATCGATGTGTAGGTAGGTGAGTATGGTGGATGCAGGGAAGTATGTTGTCCTCAAGGATAATTTGGTGTAAGTTACAGTATTATTCAGAATGGTTCAGTGTTTATGACAGTGAGAAGATATTTATGCACATCAAGGCTAAATTCAGTGACATTTCAGAGAATCAGATGAGTGGTATTCGGTCAGACAGCAGAAGGAAAAAATGCGGTGTCCATTGTAGTTGTACATCTGAGAATTTTGTCAATTCAAGTTCTGTTTCAACACAGAGATTTAAGGATTACTTGCACTGTAATGGGCTCTTTGCCAGGCTACCATTTGATCCACAACCAGAGTTTTAGAAAATATATCTGTAATGAGGTTCTTTCAGGACAGCTTGTGCTCTTCCTTTCACTGAGACAGTACAGTGTGCAATGCATATTGCTCCATACCCACTTAAGGAGAATACCTGGGCAGAACTATTTCTGAACTCGTCTCTGGTAGAGACACTTATGCAGTGTTGGATGGATTCATGATATCAGTGATTAACCAATTAGTCCACTGTTACTAGCAGCTAATAGTCATGATTTTTTGTGGGTTTTATTTGCTATTCTAATTTAAACAAATGTTTTTATTCAGGCTAAGAATTACTTTAGAAATGAAGAAATTCCAGAGGAAATTCATTCAGTATTAACAATGCAACTGTTTGTGACAACATTATTGTTTACATTACATGTAGTCATTTGGTTGATGCTTTTATGCAAAGCAACTTACTGTCACATCCGGTCAAGATGCAAAGGCTTTATAGAACAGGAAGACATATAACTGGATGCATATATAGTAACTGCCCCATAGCAGTCTTACTTGTTGTAGCACGTAATCAGTTTTTGCTTGTCAGTCATAACACAGTAAGGGAATGGGGCTTATTTCCCATAAAATACAGTTGTGTACTTGAACAATTTGGATAAATATCATGACAAAGAGCAGAAACTAAAAATCTCTCTTTAAAAATGAAACTAGATATTTTGAAAACTGATGAAACACAGCATTTTGTAAGGGGTCATGTCACAATCCCACATTGTTTGGATAGCAAAAAGACAAATTAAGACACTTTCATGGAAAGATGAATGCCAAAGCAGGTTGTTCAAGGAAACAGAAGTACTGTACTGTGCTAAAGATAATGAATTAGTGGCTTCAAGTAAAGTTAAGGAATCATTTTAAAATTCTTATGCTGATGTTCAAGGTCCTAACATGGCTTGGAGCTTCTATATTAGCCAGTGTGTTATTATTTACTTGCCAACAGGTTCCCACTGTTTGTCAGTGTAGTTGACAGGGCTTTCTGTTACTACTGTACTCCTCAAAGTTCAGAATAAATCAGAGACTCAGCCACATTGGGTACTTTCAAGAGTAGTCTAAAAACGTACTGTTTCAGAAAGACTTTTTTTGTGATAGTCTTTTTGTGTATGTACTTCGTTTTTCAGATTTTTAATTTTCTTGAATTGGACTTTATATAATGTCTTTATGCGTTATGAGGTGATTGTTTCTAAAGGTGTTCAATGATAGAAAAAGAAATTACCCGTTTTGTTGCAAAACACTTCTTCATAATACAAAGTGGTCTTTTGTTGTATTTATAGAATCCCGTGACAAGTCTAAAGCAAAGAAAAGAAGAAAGGAAAAGCAGCATAAAAAGGTATAACTTGATCCTTTAGCAGTCTTCAGGGAAGGAAACTGCTGCTCTTGATCAGAAATATTGAGTGAACCCTATCAGATAGGATTCATATCAATGTTTCCGATCTAGAGAGAGTCAGTACAGCTTTTTATTAGACGACAAAACCTAGGTCTTGTCAGTCTAGGCTTTTTTATTTTGAAAGAACCATAAAATAACCATAAGATGTATCCTTTGTCTTGTTTCTTAAATGTAAGAGTAATGCTGCTCTCAGTCTTTCTTACACATGTGAAAATGTTAATCAATGTCATGTCTGGTCTATCATATAAACAGAAAGGTAAGAAAGAAAAGAAGCATAAAAAGAAGAGGGACAAGAAAGTCAAGCGCGAGAAAGAGAGTTCTGGAGGACCTGTTCAGATCTCAAAGGTACCAGTTATTTCTTCTTAACCAGGAACTTCACTTATCTAAAATTACTTTTTTTTAATCTGTAGTTTCAGCATGGAAGAGCTGGATTTTTGTGCACGTAAATTTGTCTCCTTTTGAATTTTACAGTTTTTGAAGGATAAGAAGAAGAGTGATAAGTACAGCATGATTTCAGGAAAGAAGATCAAAATGAAAGTGAAAAAGACGAAGAAAGACAAGCAGGTGAATTTTGGTCAAGTTTAGTATGTTCATTAAACTGGGATTTGATTTTAGAGAGATTAATGCATTTTGTTAGGGTTTTCATTGCATAAACAATGAGGAAAGGTGTCTTAATCTTTAGTCATAGGTTTTTACAAAGTAGTAGGCATGTGGTAAAGTTGCACCCTAATTTGCCACTAGGTGTCACTGGGGTGTTGTGAAATTTCTAAATATACTGGTAGCTTCCAAAATAAAGGAAACACTTGAGTAAATGAGGGAAACAAAGTATATTGAAAGAAGGTGCTTTAACACAGTTGTGGTTCCTGCATTAATTAAGCAGTTAACATCCCATCAACCTTAGGGTCATGTATTAAAATGCTGGGAAGGCTCAGTTGCCAGTGATTTGGGCTATCATGGCTAGAAGAAGAGATCTCAGTGACTTTGAGATTGGGGTGATTGTTGGAGCACATTTGGTAAGAGGTTCAATGCTCATGTTGCTGATATTACGCAAGGAACAGTGGTTAAAGTGATGTTGGCGTAGAAGTCTAAGGGAGAGACATCATCAGCTAGGGGCAACCATGGACAAAAGTATATATTCCTTGACTGATTTCCATGCATTGGTTTGAGATGCATGGCAAAACAGACGAGAAACTCTGAATCAGTTGACTGCAAATGTCAATCTCAGGAGTGGGCAGGCTGTTTTATCAAGCCCAATCCATCCAAAACTTCACAGAGACGGAAACTATGGTGGGATTGAAGTGCATAAACCCCTTATTACACCTAAAAGTTCTCTTTTGCAAATAAAGTCATGCAAAGAGCACAGGCTGTGGTTTACTGATCAGTGGAAAAAAGTTATATTGTCAGATGAGTCATCATTTACCCTGTTCTCAACAAATGAACAAGTATATGTGGGCAGCTCGCCTAAAGAAACCTACAAGCTCAAGGGTTTGTTCCCCACCATGAAGTGTTCTGTGTTCTTTTATGGTGTGGGATGCATTTTCTTGGCATGGTTTAGGTCCATTCAACCCCTTAGTGGCCAAAGTAAATGCCAATAAATACAAAGCCATTTGATCACGTTCATTCTGTGGTGAAGCAGTTCCATGCTGATGGGAGTGTAATCTTGATGACAGTGCCCCCATCCACAGGGCACAAGCTGTCACTAAGTAGTTTGATGAGCATGACAACAATGTAATCCATTTCCCATGACCATCCCAGTCATCAGAACTCAACCCAGTTGAACGCTTACGGGAGATGGAGTGCCACCTGAGACAGCATTTACCATACCATCATCAAAACACCAAATGATGGAATTTCTCATGGAAGAATGCGGTCTAATCCCAACAATAGAGTTGTCGAGTCTATGCCAAGGTGCACCGAAGCTGATCTGGAGGCTTGTAGTGGCCTAACACCCTATTAAGACGCTTTATATTGGTATTTCCTTTATTTTGCCATTTACCTGTATGTGGAAACACACATATTTGTTCAGCTTTAACAACATGATAATGTAGTTGGTTCAAGACACCCATAGTACATATTGTAAAAAATGCCTCCTGTTCTCTAAACTTAGTTGACTTATCGTGCTCTGATTATCTTTCTTCCAGAGAGACAAAAATCGTGCAGAGCTGCTGGAATTTCTGAACTCTGCATTCTGACATGTGGGAAACTTTGAAAGTATTCCGGGACTTTTTTTTCCTCCCATACATTTTCCATAAACCATTTCAGGCATCCCATCATGAAGAGCCACAAAACAACTCAGGGATCTTCAGAATAAGCATGCATACCTGAACTGCTTCTTTTGTTCTTTATTTTTCCTTGCTCCTTGCCAATATATTTTGATAACCTCAAGGAATGTTGGATCAATAACCATTTTCACAACATAATTATCCTGAGAAGTCTTTATTATTGTACCATACATTTTGTCCCACATTTTTTTTTATTGTGACTGGCACATCTGAATCTGAAGTGTAGCACCTGTACTTTAATACAGAGAATTGAAGGCAAATTGTGCTTTAATTCTGCAATGGGCATCACTGCCCTATATTGTATAGTACATTCATCCTTAATTAGCCTTTACCGAATTCCAGTTGCATTCTGAAAAATTGGCAGTACTCAGAAATGTTTAGTACAGTTTCATCTTTCATTTCAAATATGAAATTTATGTTTAAGCATTTTAGCACTGTACTCATACATCCTTCATAAAGCTTTGCTCTGGGGAAAGGCAGGTGCTAAATTAAGAAGGTGGTACAATATTTGTTATTTTTACAGTACTTAGAATAGAACTAAGAAGGTTTTCCCTTTTTGTAGATTTTAAGTTATAATTGCATTACAAATTTGAGTAACCTGTTTAGACAAATACTAATATAATAATTTGCTGTCTATTGGAAGAAGAATTATGTCTTTGTAATCATTTGTTATGTTATATGTTTTTCAAATGTAGACCTGTTATGTCTGGAACATTTAAAAACAATTAAGTTTCAATAAAATTGTACAGTTGATTGAGGCCCCTACTAATGAAGATAGTTGCAAACTTCTGGTTGTGCCCCAAGATCCCTTTTATCTCCTGATACAAAGCTTCAGCAGTTTCTCACTGGCACACTGTATCGAAATTGTGCTGTGGTCAAATCGGCATTGTCTGTATGTCCAGAGTTGCATACTATTTTAATTTTCAAAGCAGTAATTTACTTTATGGTTTTAAAATTGATTTGTTAGTGTGAATTACCTCAACCATATTTTTTTAAAGATTGTCTTCCAGGATTCCCCTTCATAAACACATTTGTATATGTATCTCTCAACTCTTGCTCTGATCAGCACGTTTCTCTGTTAACTGGCTTCTGCTTGCCCCTCTGGATGATAGTAAATACTCTATTTTCTAATCCAAATCTCTTTGATGTCTCAGTAAAACTTTTTTAAAAGCTTTTCAGAATTTGTGATGTGCCCTCAATCTTGACTCAAATGATAAGCAGAAGAAAATCAATTCAAATAATTGAGAATTCTCCTGGGAAATTGTAGAAAAAATATGGCTATAGTCATAGCTATTTTGACTTTTAAGTTTGGTGACACCTCTCTGTTTTTTTAGTCTGATATGTTGAGAGCACACCTGTGAAAAGCATGGATGTAATGGCTTATATTTGTAGATTCTAATGATACAATTGTAAATTAACAGTATTATTTTGAAGAGTTTAGATTAAAATTCAGATGAAGACTAAGACTATGCTTATTGTTCAACATTATTGTAATTCAGTCTCACAGCATTTTCAAATAGGGGGTTCCTGACTTTACAAAGTCTTAAGCAAAGAATAATGCAGCATACTGTATACAGTAACATGATTTTGTACCTTCTCCACTTTACCCAAGTAGTAGCTATAGAAAGCTAAGCTAATATTACCACTATCCCAATTTATTGGAGTTTAAACACAAATCCAAGTTTTATACATTACATTTTGAAATTATTTTTCATAAAAGACTTTCAAAAGCAACATTTCTGTTCTTGAAAAAAAATATGATTGAAGATTTAGATTTTTATATCTGAAAATCAGTGCTATGGGCTTTTCCATATCTCTCACTGAAATTAATTAAATACTTCTTTTTTTAAAAAAAGAATCAACTTGTATTCTCTGGATCTTGAACTAAAGTGCTGGTTTTGTCATAAAGGTTTGTGGAAAAATTAGTTTATTCATATAAACGTTAGGCAAAAAATAAACAATTTGTCTTAAATAACACTTGCATATTTTACAATGATGATGCCTTTATTTATGTTTAAATGAAGTCTTTTTTTTCAATATCTGCTACTTTTTATTTACGCCATCTTGGTAGGAATAATGTACAGATTGATCCCCATAGATGTTCCTTTAAACCTGAATCTGTGTATATCTGACATTCATGGGATAGACTAAGTTCAGCTTTGTTTTAAGTCCACATAAGTCCAATGTACCCTGTTTTAATGTCTCTCAGATTCTAGATTACTCTCACATAATTTCTTAATTAAGAAACTGTGGGGCTTTCATTGCCATGTTAATGTTCTGTGACGACTGCACTACTCCACTGTGTGTATACAGAGCCTTGCCATAGAGAAATAAGTCACCTTGTGGGTGCACTGAAGAAGTGGAAGTTTTCTTCTTAGGTCTGTAGTTATATATTGTTTTTCAATAAAAAAGTGTGACTAACAAATTCATGTCTGGTTTTGTTTTGTGTAGGGCCTGATGTTAATGGTAATGTCAGAAATCTGATTTTTGACTCATAATATTTACTATAATATGTGGTTTCTGATCATTAGATATCCACTGTTTAGAAGGGTAGTAATTTTAGATGGATATATTATTGAGCCTTACAGAGTCTATGAAAAAATGGCAATCACTTTTGTTGGTACAACTTATTAATGCATCTTGATCTGGACCATCAAAAAGATTAAATGGATGGCATGTATATTCCATTATGCTAAAAAAAATGCAATTAATATAATTACACTGCTTTGAAGGAGATAGTTACTCAATCTACATTATCCATGTGCTATTCTATATTCTAGTCATGCATACACTGAGAATTCTGACATTCTAAGATTGCTATTACAGTACAAGTACTAATAACAGTGTTTTGATCCCAAAGCTTGAACAATGGAAAGGCCTTCATCATTCTCTAAGTAGTAAGATGAAAAGAAAGCAGTAAGGGAACTCTAATATGACCCCTCCCCCCCCCCCCCACTCCATCTTCCAGATATGGAATAAATGTCTGAATTCAGTTTCATTCTGTTTTGGATTTTAAGTATGTGAGTTGTTCAACATCCCTCTTATTATTATAAGAACACTGTTTATTTCAGCTTAGGGTACAACACCCCCAGCCCCTTTCCTAAGAAGTGTAGGTCACAAGGCAGGATTACAGTCTATCATAGAGCAAACACACGCAAGCACATTTGGACAATTTATAGGCAACACTTAACATAGGCAGCATGTCTTTTTAAGATGAAAGGAAGTCGAACCATTCAGAGGACACCATCAAGGAAAAGCATAATTAAACTCAAGATACACATGCCACTGTCTTGCACATGCAGATCTGATTTAAGGGCAAACTCGCATTAACACCGTGCTAAATTTTACATCCTCAGTATTCCTTTAAGAGGCACTTTTAACTATGCTTTTATCCCTTATTATATGCCTTGTAGGAAAAAAAATCCATCTGATTTTCTCACTAATATATATGTGCATATATTTTGAGTATTAGTTCTCAGCTATTGCTGTAATTCATGAACTCATCGTCACCAATTTGGTTTTCTCAAGCTGCACCTGCATTTCTATTGACTGCTCCAGCAAAGCAGACATTTTATCCACTTCACCACTTCTGAACCGTTCTGAACTGCTTTGTTCTATTAAAGGAGTGGGAGTAGTTTTTTTTGTTGTTGTGACGTCCCCGCTTTTGCAAACACGTGGAAGTTCTTGGGGAATGGGAGGGAGAGCCAGTCTCACTCAACTGTTAGAAATCTTAATCATTACTGACTTTTGCTATTGTATATATCTCACACAAAGATCTCTTTCTGCATTTTTTGCCTTGATCCCTTATATACTGTACCTCATCCCCACCTTTGCAGCTACACTTTGGTTAACTCTGTCTGAACAGGGTTCGAGCCTCTTCCTCCTCCTGTGACCAGGAAGCTGCCCCTTACTCAAGCAGGGTAAGCCAAGCCTTGCCAGTTAGTTACGCAAGCTAAGTTGCTTGCCAGTTCAGCAAGCCATTCAGCATTTGATTGGGTGTCATTATTCTTCATGCAATATAAAAAAAGACTGAAAGATAACCAAAATAGGAAAATAACTACTAATACATAACTAGTATCTGATACCTGTGCAACTCAATATTCATCTGCATTTCACCTGATGACATACATTATTTATGCTTTTATTGAATCAATATGAATAGGAGCTTATGGTTTATCTCTATCAGTTGAACTCGTAACAAAATATGCACCAAAAATCTGTGCTTCTGTTATATCAATATTAATATAATTTTTTTTAGTTTGGGTTTATTTGTTCCAACATTCGTTTTGCAAAATAGATTTATGATTTTATGTTCACAGGAAAAAAAAATTTACCTGTGAGACTGTCACTCGTATGTGTAGTTTGTGCGTTAGGACTTGTTCCTGTTGTTGCCAGTTAAAAAGGATCCAACTCTCCTCACATTACTGTTACAAATATCACATCTGTTTTGACAGGGTGTTGTTCATCACTACATTGAGTAGGAGCTGGGGAAACCTAGCCCCATTGTTGTAAAAATGTACAGAAGAATTTGAGCTTATCTCAGCAAGCAACAGGCGTAAGACAGGATACATAATGTTAAACCCTGTATGGGATGTCAGTCCATCAAAACGCAGGCAGATACAAACACAGACAATTTTCCCAGAATCCAAGAACAAACCTAGAAAATAAAACCTTGTCATGACATTAAAAAGAGTTATTTATCCCTGTAAAAGACTGAGTGACCCTTTCCTGTCTAAAATCTTTGCTGCATTTGTTCATGTTCCATGCAGCAAGATTTAAAAACAGGTTATGAATTATTTTGTAATTATTGCTAAATCATTTTATTGATTTTCTGTTACTTTCATCCTTTGGCGTGATATTCATTTTTGGGAATATTTTGTTTTCTATGTAATGGAAAAGAGTTAACTTTGAAACTCTTCTTTCAATTAGAGGAAAAAGCTTTTTTTTCCTGCAAGAATTTTGGAAGCATGCTGATTTTTGTAACCTCTTTAGGTTTACAAAATTCAGGTCTTTTTATTTTGCACAAAATCTATTTTTTGATTACACTTGGAAATGTTTTAGGTGGTAGCCAAAAATGATAAAGAAATAATCTTTAAGAGGCCTGGTTTAGTCTTATCAGTAGAATCCCTCCTGTCAATTACAAAGACAGTGGTTTAACACAGTCTTTATTTTTGTTTTAACAGTGTTGTTAGATAGAATTGTATTAATTTGAGAGATTATGTACCAAAAGGGGGTTTTGACAAAAAACTGAATGTTTAACTGAACATAAAATGGGGAGATAAAAGGTGAAAATATGTCTAGGACAATACACTGTATGGACATTGTTTTACTGCAGTAGAGACTTAAGAGACCAACATTAATTAAGAGCACAAGCTCCCAGTTCCTTCAGCCTTTCAAACCCCCTTTTTGTGTCTGAACTCTGGCATGCTCCACACTCGTCTGCTGTGCTCCATACCCCTTTCCACATCCTCAGAGACAGTCTTGATGTCGCTGCCGAAGGGGTATATCCTGACACGGGATTTGAAGGTCATCAGCGACAGGCTCATCGCCCGCTTGTTGTTCCACTGCCTGGAAAGCTTCTTGGCTTCCTCCTCGTCTTTCATCTTGTCCAGGGCCTCCAGGAGAACAGAGCGAAAGAGCTGAGACACCTCATGGACCTCGGGTTCATACTCTGTTACAAGCTGCCTGAACCTGGGAGAGATCAAGGATACAATGATCGTTGTGGAAGTCACAAACTATGGAAGTCTTTGTCTATGGAGCAAAGACTGACTATGGGAAACACTCATCTCTGTAAAGTTGGCTCAGCCTAAAGAGTGGATCCTCTTTAACAGGGCACAACCCAGAAAACACCTGGACTATTAATTATTCTCCTCTCACTCATGGGCCCATTTCTGCTGCAATAGTGTACAGTCTTTCTCAGTATGGCAGCTTCTTTGAAGAGCATTCCCACTATTCCCAAAACATGCATCTTCTGTGTGGTACCTACACACCCAATGAAAGTAGTACAAAACTATAATTTCATTGCTAGAGACAACCAGAACATAACACCAAATCAGTTCAGAATTCTATCGACACTTTTGTGTATGCTATCCTGAATTGATTTTTTTTTCTTTTAGACTGAAAGCCAAGCTATACAACAACCTACAGTACATGTGTAATTCTGCCCCTGCTGAAATTACTCCTGTGGCTCACGATAAGCACTATCGAACAACACCACAGGCCCCAGCTTCAAAGTCTAATCCCCTTGTGGTAAAAACACTGCCCACCTTCACAGGCTAGCAGTAAAGCTGTTTACTTCAAGATCACATTATAACTCGCTTCCTTGCACTAAACATGAAGAACAAGGCTAACACAAAGCAGCTTGGGACACCCACAAATACTTTTAATACAGTTTAAGACTCTTGTTAATTTTGAATTCTCTATATATTTGTGTACTGCAAATAAAAAGCTCTTTAAGAGCTGTAATATAAGTGTTTTTACATAAGCAATTGGAATCCACTGTGTGGTTTCAAGCATCTGCTCATCAGATTTTCCTGTTTCCCAGAATTGCCAATAAAGCTGGCTTTGGCAGTTCCTTATAAGAGAAAAGGCTTTGCCACCCAAAGCTACTTATTTTCAAAGAGAACCCAATACGTCTGTTAGACTCTTTAAATAGATGACACCTGCTGCTTATACTGTAGCTTTCTTCCATTACTAGCCTGGTTCCTTATCTGTTTTTCTTTGCTAGAGTATCAGACCACTCATTTAAAAGACAAGCTATATCCCTTTCCACTTAAGTTATTTATGTTTCCTGCAGATTTCAATTGAGTATTTAGAAGATGAACAGACATTCACTCATACATTTCTTTTAGTTGCTGTTAAACTATTTGAACCATTTCACCATAGTAAAACCAGGAATGCAAGGCTGGTCATACAAAGCATTATGTTCACATTGTTACAAGGGTCGGGTTAAAACAGGTTGCTTTTCTTTGAAGAAAAAAAAATAATAATAATTGCTTACACTTATATAGCACTTTTCTGGACACTCCACTCAAAGCGCTTTACAGGTAATGGGGACTCCCCTCCACCACCACCAATGTGCAGCATCCACCTGGATGATGCGACGGCAGCCATAGTGCGCCAGAACGCTCACCACACATCAGCGATCAGTGGGGGAGGAGAGCAGAGTAATGAAACCAATTCATAGATAGGGATTATTAGGAGGCCATGATTGGTAAGGGCCAATGGGAAATTTGGCCAGGACGCCAGGGTTACACCCCTACTCTTTTCGAGAAACGCCCTGGGATTTTTAATGACCACAGAGAGTCAGGACCTCGGTTTTACGTCTCATCCGAAGGACGGCGCCTGTTCACAGTATAGTGTCCCCATCACTATACTGGGGCATTAGGACCCACATGGACCACAGGGTGAGCGCCCCCTGTTGGCCCCACTAACACCTCTTCCAGCAGCAAACTTAGTTTTTCCCAGGAGGTCCCAGGTACTGACCAGGCTCACACCTGCTTAGCTTCAGTGGGCTGCCAGTTAAGAGTTGCAGGGTGATTTGGCTGCTGGCAAAATACTATTGTGTTCTATCACGGTTTTTCAAAATACACTGTGGTTACAGAGGTTTAACTCACATCAATTAAACTGAATGTGGATTTCTACCTTGTTCCACCCTTGTTACATTATACTTATATTTATTTTATTGTGCATACATATGAGAGGGCATGCACAGATATTAACATGTTCCATAAATGAGAAATGATCTAAGAAAACATTTACACACTAGCTATTTTACTCATATATTTCTTTATTCAATTTTATATATTTAATTGTGATATGTATAAATGATATGCATCACTATCTTGTGAAGATTATTACTTAAAAACATGTTTTTATTTTTGCACTCTGCAGTGAATGGCAATGGACTGCTGTAGGAGGTCATTTCCCATGCCGAAGAGAGGCATTAGGAGAGATAGCTTTGAGCTAGAGAAGTTCAGAGAATCTCTTTCACAGCTTCGGTCAAGATCACAAGTGCACGGATAAGATATCCAAGTCACAGGAGCAGCTGTTGTGCAGCAGGCTGTCCAAACCCTGACCAACAGAACTTACCCAAACTGTCCCTGTCGCTGCCAAAAACCCAGTCAGTCAATAAATAATGTCAATGTCAACACATAGAAGAAGCAAGTAGCAAAAATTAAAAATCAAAGAATTTTCTTCCAGATGTTTGCACAGTGGTGCAGTGGTTAGTATTGCTGCCTTGCAGTGCCGAGACCCTGGGTTCAACACCTGGGGTGAAATGTGTGTGTGGTTTGTACAGTGTATGCTTTCCCTTTGTTCGTGTGGGTTTCCTCCTGCGTGCTCCAGTTTCCTCCTACAATCCAAAGACATGCTGGTACTGTAGGTTAACTGGCTACTATATAAACTTGCCCTGATGCAAGTTTGTGCATATTTGTGTCTGGATGTACAGTATCACATCTTGTGCCCTTTGCTTGCTGGTATAGGCTCTGGCTCCCCTGTGACCATGAAGTGGATAGAAAATGGATTTCTTAAAATATTTTACACACAAGACCAAAATATTACAACAGACTGATGAGGATTGTTGTCCTTCAGGATCTCTAATCTTGGTGAAAAGCAATGAACACTGGAGAGTTCAACTCAAGCTAGTTCTGAAGTGGTCTTGATTGAGTTCAATGGGCAATCAGCAGAAGTAAATAATGATTATTTTCATCTTGTGTTAATACCAAAGATGATTGGGGCACATCGGCTTGACAATGCTAGATCTTTTCTTCTTTAAAGAATGTACATAAATAATTTGCTAGAAACATTTCTCTGATGTCTCATTTAGCAGTACGTGACAAGTAGCAGCAGAAATGTATTCCAACATTGCCTACAACATTTTGTGTTTTAATCAACAATGGAATCTATCTTTCTCCTTGAGAAAAACTAAATGTTTTTCTACTGCTCAGTGACAAAAAATATTCTGGTTAGGTCAGCCTGAAATCACTATTGCTCCAACAATTGGTTTACCAAATACTAAGTGCTAAGGAAAACTTAATTTGGACTTACTGATTCTTTACTTACCAACTTATTTATTTTTATCCATATGTATTGTATGTTTTCTGCTGCTGCAAAATCTGCTCTTGGCTAGGTTTTCATTGTGAATTCTCAACTAAGTGACAATTCATTGTGGATTGGTCACTTAGTTGCTTGGGAGTGACTTCTTAATTCAAATGACCTCTAAGAAAACGCTCACACAATTTAATGTTGATTTTCCATATCCATATCCATAATGTTGATTTTTGAAAGTCTTTTTCAATTGTTCTGGTCCATGTCAGGTTTGGATTCTGCCATTTACTGTAGCTACATTTTTAAAAGTCAGACATCTGTCTATTTTTGACCGCTTTATCCAATACAGGTTCATGAGGGAAGAAGGCAGGATACTTCCCGTAAAGGACGTCTGTTTATCATAGGACAGACAGACACTAACTCAGTCACAACAGGGCCAGTTTTCCCAGAAGCAATCTAACCTACCAATATGTGTCTGGACTGTGGGAGGAAGCCGGAGCTCCTGGAAGAAACTCACAGAAACAAACTCCATATACACATCGCACCCCAGGTCCACAATTGAACTCAGGGCTCCAATGCTGCAAGACAGCAATGCTAACCTCTGTGCCACTATGCCACCCAAAAAATACATTTTATTTCCTAAAAGCATCCATACATGTCCCACATCCAGAACTAATGACAAAGACTAATGCTCAGAGTTAAGTTCTTCGCCAAAGCATCAGGTAGTGAAGGAGCATTAGAGCAGTGGCTCACCTGAGGATTACAGCCCCACAGAAGGAGGGATGTATCTTGGAACAGACGTCCTCCAGCTCCAGCCTCTCTCCAGGCGTGATGTCGTAGCTGTTCTTGGGGCTGCTGACCAGCCAGCTGTAGTCCACGCCGGTTTTGATGCGGCGATACTCGTTGTCTCGTTCCCGCTGCAACCTCTCTGCTTCTTTCAGCTGCCAGCGCAGCTCCAGCATCAGGGTGTCGGTCACCATGTCAGCGGGGCTTCTCTGAGCCTGCCGGAGGTACGGCTCATTCCATCGAAACCACGACGCCATGGACCCTGCTCGCACCTATGGAACTACGTTATCAGGAGACAGAGAGAACAATATTTCACTGCAAAGCTCTGCTTGTAGTAGAACTCCGAATTAGAAAGAGAATCTACTTGCCTTGTCTTTCCAATATGTTCTAAAATGTACATTGTAGTTATTCAAATAGCGCTTAATGCTTACATTTTTTCAGATAGTTGAATCATCTACATCAGAGAACAGTGCCAAATCTTTTTCATTAGGCAAAAACAATTAATTGAACAAATAATGATTATCAACTTATTGTTTTTCTCTACAGTGTCTGACTGGTGAACAGTCAAGATCTATAGCGCTGCAATAATGAGAAGGAAATGAAAATGTGGAAACTTGGTTTCCTGAGGGAAATGTTCTGATTGTGTTGACCTCTTAAGACAGATCACCTTTCACTAAAGGTTCTAAGGCACTTTCTTCTGCCTCCTTGTGTTGTTTTAGGTATTGCAAAGTTTTCTTTATATGTTTTGGGGCCAAAATACAGCAAGGCTTTTAACTTTAATATTGTGGCAAATACAATATATATTTCTGGTTTTGCACATCAAAGGAAAACCTAGAGATGTTAAAGAATACATTAAATACAACAGAAATCACATCTAAAACCAGTGATGTCTTGCTTTGATGTGGGCCTTCTAAAACTTCCATTAAAATCAAAACAACCACAGATACCAAATACTGAATATGTACAGTATCCAAGCATCTGGCCTTTTAACTTCTTTAAAATTAATAGATTGTCAACCAAAAGTAATTGAGTAAATAACTGAAATAGACACCAAAGCATAGTGCTCTTTTCACATATTAAAAGAGGCAATTAGTTTCTTAATGCACTTTGCATCTGCATTACAGGGATAGGGTGCTTCACTGATTTTATGAAAACAAACTGTAAGATATGACAATGAAAGTCAATGAACACCCTTTTTTGAAACAATGATATTGGAAGTTATTGAAAATTAGTATATACAATATTTGTGTTACAAATAAAATCTTTATTTGGTATAAATATATAGTATAATATAACAGTATTTCTATGTTTTTGTAAGCAGAACTAATTGACTGCTGCCAATATCCAAATGACATACTCTACATACCCATTTAAATAAGGACATTTTACTGAAACAATTCACATGGAGCTAAAGTGTACAAGAGTAATGTCCCCTGTATAGGATTTAAACTGTGCACAAACAAGCCCAGAGACTTAACTACAACTTCACACTGCTGCCACATTGCGTGTCTAGGAATCACATAGAATAGTGTTGATAGCTGCCTTGTCTTAGTTGTCTCGGTTAATGTAATATCACCATTAGGAGTTCCTGCTTATATTAGGGTCAATCCCACCACTACTGTGATTTTAAACTGGTATCAGTTTAAAATTTAGAATAAAACCTATAAAATGAAATTAGTGGATCCAACTAACCAAAGGAACACTTTAAAAAAAAGAGATGATTTGATAATATTTCTTATCCTCCTTTATTTGAAAGTTCTGACCCCACATGCTATTTTGGTCTGTGTTAAATTAAGTGCATTTTATTTTATATGATGGGTTTATATAATATAATATGATGCAAGTTGCATACTTCCAAAAAGCCCAGACATGACACTGGAGTCCAGAGGAGTCCGCTCTGTCATAAGAGAGGACTCCAGTCTCTGTAATAGACACCAATCTAGTATCTCCAGGTGCCTGCTTCCCCATTTCCACCACTGCCTATTGTACTGAGGCTAATCTGAACTGCCACAGAGGCAGACACTGAAGACTGAGCAGTGTGCCCTAGGAGAGATGAGAAAGACATTGACTCATGCCATCTTTTTAAACCTTGACTAACCCTCAACTAACCCTTTTTGTTCATTTTCTTTGACTTTTTAATTCTGCGTAATTGCCAGACAGGAATGCCCTTTCGCATTTGATAACTGGGTCAGATTATGGTCACAACAGCATTGTCGTGCTGATTTACAGAACCTTTTCCTGATAAAGAAAAAAAAAACAATAAAGAGAGTCATGCATTTATTTATTGCTTAATAGATTGTGCTGAACAATTATTTGAATATTTATTTTGTCTGATTTTAAAAGCAATGGAATAAACAGCACAGAGACATAAATTAGGATCATCAATACTCACACGGAAGCAGCTGAGTTTGTTGATCAGGAGACCTCTGTAAAGAAAATCTGATTTTCTCTCATTTACCCCCCCCTTTTCCTTCCACAAAGGGCTAAGGACATTTGGGGCAAACCACCCAACCGATTTGGTTGATGCAGATTCATGGGGAACCTTCAGGAACTAACTGGGTGAGGATGATTAGACCAATAAGACTTACCAGCAACATAATTCAAAACACTTTGTCTATTAATTGTTCATTTTGTTTCAAAATGTTCAAGAGAGCTTTAGCTTAATAAACATAAATTCATAAAAGATCTAAACAAACTTACTTTTTTTTACTGCTGAGTAGTCTGTCCAAAACTAATCTTCCATTTCTCCAGCTGTAAGCACTTGTTTGTCTCATTATTCTATATTAATCCAAAAGGTGATTTTCCATAATTACTTAAATGCTTACATCTGTGGAGTATTGTTACAAGAAAACTCAGATTAACACAAAACTAAAACAAATCTGCTGATTGTTTAGCAAATACTCAGATACTTTACTTTCATACTGAAAATGGGGCGTTTTAATTGTATATACAGTATGTATGTTCAGGCAAATTTAATTGAAGCTTGTAACTGCATCATTCCTTTTCTTGATAACAATGAGTAAATTTGTGTTCACCAGAGGATCATAGTGCGTTCTATCTTTTAAAGATATTACTTATAAAAACTGCAAAAGTAATGAGTAATTAAGGCAGCATTCATTGTAAATATGAATCAACCAGTGTGATCAACTTTCACTGGTTATCACAACATGTTCAGAAATCATACTGTATGAAGAAACATAGGAATTATGTTGTTGTTCCAGTAACCAAAAATATTTTTCTCTAAACACTGACTGACAAATTTCAGAAGAAAAATACAAAAAAAGCAATAATAAAGAAGAAAAGATAATTACGCCAACTTATGTACTGCTAAAATTAAATCAAAATAAACAAAAACTAATCCTTGTAATATTAAAGAAAAAACAAATCAGAAAAGATGTTGAAATAACATGTAACATTTTTATACACATAAATTATAACTGTTTGCACTTTATTTACATTCACAGATTGTGGTTTTAAAACCACTGAACTCCTATTGTATATCCCTTTTCATGAAATAGTTGTAAAGGTATTCCTAAGATAAAATACTATTCATCATGTTACTTTAACTTTAATAATAAGAATAACTAAAGTCAGACAATAAACGGTTTTACCAATACAATTCAGGATTTTAGGATTTCCATTGGTTTAAAGTATTCTACAGATTACTTCTGATTTGCTTCTGATTTAGTCCTTAACGTTTATTTGCATATGTATCTCAGAGTAAAGAAATACTCTATACCCATATTGTTCTCAGGTCAAAATGAATCTTGCATGGGTCTGACTTTGATGCTTTTGTTACTTCTGTGACTTAACAGTCAAGGAGAGTTCTCTGAGAATGAATCATGTGCATATACTGTATATTTTGTGTAATCTTCTGTCTTTGCCCTTTTGTACCTCCTTCGTAAGGTCTCAGCTGTTATTACTGTAATAACTCAAACTGTTATTCCCCAGTTTAAAACCTAGGCAACACATTGCATCAATTAGCCATGTGAGACTTTGACTGTTTAATGATGCATTAAAGGGCTGGCTTCATTGCATGGTGGCATGAGAATTAGCTCCTTAAGAGCTCCTTAAGCACAGATCTCGAGGTTGATTCTAGACTGGAATATCTGTCTGTGTGAAGTTTGCATGGTCTCCTGGAGTTAACATGGGTTTTCTCCAGGTGATTTGACTACCATTTCCCACAGATACTCTGGTAACGTTTGACTGGCTTTTCTGAACTATCCCTTTCCCCATTGCCCTGTGGAGCTATTAGTATAGGCTTTGTTTTGCCAGGACCCTCACCAGGTGAAATAGCTTCTGAGAATGAATGGGCAGATGGGCTGTGCATTACACACTGATAGATTTTGTCTCCAATGAAACATATTTCATAAATGACAACGTGATGGATTCAGTTTTCTATAATAAAGCCTTCTCACTTGAAAAGCGTTTAGTGTTCTTTTTATCTGTACTATGTATTGTATTTCATTTTATGTTTTTGCAACATTGATTATTGGATTTTCTCATTAACAGAGATGTTAATTGTTTTTATGATGAAGCATGCTTTTTATAAAACATATACTCTTCTTCATTTATGTCTGCCTTCTTAATCTTATGCTCCAATTAAATATTCTCACTCCTTCAAATGGATTGAAGAACATCTGATTTCACAGAACATATTTTACTGCACTTTACTATAATTTTTAACTTTTTTGCCAATATGTCAGCATGACTTTTCCCATGCATTTTAGCATTGTATATTTATAGCATTTCTTCACTTTTGCAGTTGATGCGTTACATTTTTGAACCTGCAAACTACCACGAGAGCTATAAGACTTCCATTTATCATAAAGAATACCTTATTCCCTTGCTAACTATAGATTTTCTTCAAGCTTGAGCAAATACTCTTCCACTATTTCTTAAACAACTTAACTTACCTGGGTTGTTATTCCTTTAGTCCAGATTAAACCTCTTCGCACTGCAGAATCAGAATTTCTGCGAACAGGAACAAAAATAGGGCAAAGAGGGACTTTGAATAAGCAGCACAGATAGGATGTTTGCTGAAGTATCGTGTCTGTAGTTTCTTTTCCAGCCCGTGGTCTCCTGGCACTTTCTGTCAGCCTTGAACAAATGGAAGCTCTGTCTTGCCTCTACTTGTTGCTTCAGTTTTGATGTACTGTCAGGGGACCTGACTGGATCACAGGCTGATGAAGCCCTCACTCCTTGATTATGATTTGCAGTTGCCATAGCAATCATTCTAAGCCTATTTGGCCACAATAAGCTCTATCAGCACAGGGAGAGAGAGACAGAAAGAGAAGGAGGGGAAGGAGAGAACGTGTGTGTGTGTGCACATGTTGATGATATTTGAGTTTAGGTCAACTGGTGTCAAAGGAATTGCAGTCTGTTACATGATTGCCTGTTCTTCATAAACCTTCACGAGCTTCCTTGCTTCAGAACTCATATTTGTGTGATTTGTGTTGAGGAAAATCCAAATACCATTTTAAAACCTTTCATAAAGAATGTGTAAAAACAGGAATAAAAATTCCACTTAGGGTTGAAAGCATGAGGACACCAAAGAAATCAATACAATCTTTTTAAGAATTTTCCCTGGTAGAAGTCCCAGTAGCATCAACACTTCAATGTGCAATTTTGAAAACGTTGCTTGAAGTAGTGTGTGTGTGTACTGTGGGTGTTTGTATTGATCATAAAGTATGTCTATTGGAGTTCTTCATCGATTATAGAATGTTTTCTTTCTGTTCAGACTTCGTTATTTTCTTTGTAATGCATAAGAGCATTTCTGACCTGTTGCATAATGACATTAATGTAACTAAACAAACTCAATCTTCACATAATGGTTTATTTTAGCAAGATATTTGCTTTCCTGTTTGTTCTTATGTATTTTCTGCCGTAGTTCTTCTTGACTAAGAAGAACATATCTAATTAATACTTAAATAAAACCTCTATAATACTCAAAATGTGATTCTAAACACCAGTATTTTCATGTAATGAGGATGTTTAGCCATTTGCTGTAAGACTGAACTGGACAAGAGGTCAAGACTGATCCTCTTTGATTAAACAGAACAGATGCCTGTACTAATCTCCAGCTTTAACACTGAGCACTGGGTCTGAGGTCACAACAAACATACTGTCCGACATCTATACCATTTAAGTGGAATTTGTCAGTATTGCTCATGAGGAGTACTCTTCCTTTGGCACAAAATACCATTCTGAATAATCTTGTTCTTTAGACTCTCTCTGGAGATTTTAGTTCAGCTTCAATACAACAAGGCAAATGGAGCAGAAGGTCAACTTTAACATAAGGAGCTTTTGTTAGAATATTTACCAGTACATAAAATTGAATTAAATATCAAAAATGCTTTTTGTACGATTACTCTTTATAAGTCAGTACTGAACTTTACATGGCAAATAATTAGGTAAATGTTAGGTCAACAAGTCCTTTTTCCTTTCCTTTTCTATTTCTGAAAGTGCCTTTAAAACTGAGAACAAGAAGTACCTATTTACACAAAAGGCTATAGGAGTATGGAACAAGCCATATAGACATGGTGGTGAAGCTGATACCCTTACTTCTTTTAAGAAATTGGTGGATGAGTTATCTCATTTAAAAAAAAGCTTCTATTTACTAAAGGGCTTAGATGGGCCAAATAGCCTTCTATTGTTTGTATAATAATTATGGTTATGTTCTTTTATTTTACCTCTCTGAAGTGAAATCCAGGTGTTTAAAATATAAAATCCACTTATCCTTACTGAATACATTTGGTAAGAATTCAGCATTTTATTCCTGTCCATTTAATAGTGTCTATGGGCAAAATCCAAATGTGAGGAGAGGTTATAACTGAACAAAGGTAAGGACTGAATAAAGGAGAGTGGAATACATCTGTTATATTTGCTGCCAGCATCTCAGTAAAAGTAAAATAAACTGAAAGGCCAGAGGAGTTTTCAGTATGTAATTCAAAATTTAATAATAAGTAATTGTAGAAAACACAAACTATGGCCTATTTTAAAAGAGTAGTGCTATAATTCTTCTTCGGCACAAATAAAAGGCAACTGCTTCAATAACAGGCAGAACAGTGGCCCAGTGGGTAGCATTGCTGCCTCAGCACTGGGGCCCTGTGGTGGGTTTCTTCTAGGCGTTCTGGTTTCCTCTCACAGTCCAAAGACATACTGGTAGGTAAATTGGCTTTAGTGAATTGTTCCAGGTATGAGAGTGTGCTTGTCTGTACCTGTGTAAGCCCTGCGATTAACCTACCAGAGTGTCTTTGGACTGTGGAAGGAAACCAGAGCACCCAGAAGAAACCCACAAGAACAAAGGGAGAAAAAAACACACTCCACACAGGTAAAATCAAAGGTCCAGAACTGAACTCAGGGTCCCAGTGCTGCAAGACAACAATGTCCCACCCCTACTGTTAGTGTAAATATCAGAATGATACTGATTTATGGAGTTTATTTAACTAAAGTTCAGGAGGGATGACAACAACCACGCTCAATCATTCCCAGTCGTCAGCAATCACTCGCTTCGTCCTTCCTACACCGAATGCTATAAATACCAATGCGATTTCCTACTCTCTCTCACGTGCGACTTTTGCATCCCACCTCCACCCCAACTCCACCTCTGCAGCTGCCCCTTGGTTACTTTGCGGGGGGGTCCTGGCTTCCTCGTCCTATGGCCAGGTCGGCCCTCAGCCAAGCGGGCTAAGCCAAATATTCACTCTACAATAGTTCGCCACACTTTGATTTTGGGGCGTTGTCATTCCTTGTGAATTACATTACAGATCAGATATAAAAATACTGACTTTTGAAATATAAATTGTGTATTTTATGTAGCATAATAATAATAATAATGAAATAAAACAACACACAACACCAGTGTACAATAGACCAGTGCTTTCCAGGTTCCTTTTTGGCAACCTTTTCAACTTTCAATATTTATATTTTCCTAGTTTTAACACATTTTTTTCCAATCCATTGCAAGATCTCATCTGTAACATTAATAGCTGATATTCAAAAGACAGTAATTTTATAAACAAATAAACAGCTTGTCTCATCTATTATTTAAAATAGTTTTGTAGCAGAAAATGTCACTACTTCACTTCACACCAGGCTTAATTCAATGAAACAGTCCTATTTTCAGAAAGGTTTTGGTATTGGCACATAACCAATAGCACCTGTAAACTTGGTAAATCTCTGTGATATATTCATGTAGCTAGTACCAGTGTGAAAATGTGTAGTTTATTAAAAGATAGAGCTCTTTCAAGCATGGATTTGTAAAGTATAGAATACTGCATTTGCTTTTTTTATCAAGGTACATATATTTCACTTTCTTGTATGCTATGTATTATAACTAAAAATACATTTGACAGTCTATTATCTACTCAGTCTTTTTTTAAGTTACAGTAACATACTGTAAATGACTCAGACACATTTGAAGAACCTCTTGTGTGTGATTTTCATTATCAAGAAGAACAAAACCATAATGATCAAGTGGGAAGCAGCTGTTTAAGACCCGAGTCAATAATTACTATGTTAATTCATTGAAAGCATAGAAGTAACGTACTGTAGCACATAATATAGGACTTTTTCTAAACCTTAATATTTCACATGAACAACTATGTGATAGTTATTGTCACATCACACATATTATACATACAGTATACGTTATAAAGCATATTCAAATAATTCAGGTGGGTAACTGCGTCAGCATGCATAGGCTGCAAAGGAACAAGTAATAGGTTTATTCCATGCTGTAAAAAGAAGAAAAAAAACACAATGTTTCGATCATGGAGCCTTCTCTACGGCCGTGGTGCCTGCTCACACCTTAAGAAGGCTCCACAGCCAAAACGTTGTGTTTTCTTTCTTCTCTTTTCAGCATGGAATAAACCTATTACTTGTTCTATATTCAAATAATAGCCTTTTGGTACTTGCTTTTAATGTGAAGAAGCCTAGGGAGACAAAAGGTTGTCTATGATCAAGAACATCTAGCAAAAACTCGTGTCAGCACAGGGAGAGTAGGCAAACTCCACACAGAGGGTGATCCAGGCCAAAATCAAAGCCGGGACCCAAGGATTGTGATGCAGCAATGCTAACTGCCATGCTGCTCTGCCTGCCTATAAGTTTTTTTAGATTAACTTGGCATGATACATTATAAGTCTATTTTTACCTTCTGTGGGGGAGTATTTGAAAATTGTTGAATAAGTATAAGCATTATTCTTGCAAACTCCTTACATATACATTTGCACAAATATTTAAAACCTTTGCACAATTTTCACATTGTGTTCCTTCAAAGCTTGCTGTTGTGACACTTTGAAGTAGCAGTTGATATCTGTTATAAGCAACATGCGCCCCACACATTCTAAGAAAAAACAAGAAAGGAAAAAGAAAGAAGTAAATAGATAAATTATATGAAAGGAAAATGAATTATGATCACATAAGTATTCAAACCCTTTCTCATGGAAAACCTAAATTAATTTAGGTGCACAAAATTACCTGCATTGAGTAGTCTCAGTCTGCATGCAGTGATATTGGTTCTAATGATTTCAGAATAAAGTCTCTGTAGGGTCACACAGTCAGAAGGTGAATTTAAAGCAAAGATTCAACCATGAAGACCAAAGACTTTTCAAAGGAATGAAGTTGTACAAAAACACAAATCAAAAGGGATATGAAAATATTTCAGACTTTTATTTTTTCTTTGACCTTTTATTATTTCATTAAGAAGTGTAAACTCACACACTGCTTAGATCATCCCACCAAACTGAACACCTGGGCAAGGACTAAACAGGTTAGAGATGCCCCCATGAGGCCAGCAGCAGCTTTGCAAATTACAGTGCTCAGTGGCTGAAAGCAGAGATGTCCATTGGAGAACAATATCCTGGTCAACCTACAAAGGGGGCTTGTCCATCCATCTTCTAACCACTTTATCCAATACAGGATTGCAGGGAGTCAGAGCCTATTCCAGTCAGCAACATGCACTAGGCAGTATACACCCTGGACAGAACCCCAGTCCACTGCAGAGCAGAATCACAGACAGACGTTCATGCCTGGGGCCTTTTTTTCCCAGGAGCCAATTAACTGACAGTATCAGTACTGTCGTCTTTAGACTGTGGGAGGAAACTGGAGCATCGAAAGGAAACCCACAGCACAAGTGGGCTTGTATGCCACTGAAACAAAAATCT